TCCTTTAGTTAATTGTAAAGCCAATGCCCTAAACCTCCAGGAGATATTTTTCCAAGGAGAAACCAATTTGTTTTTAAACTGAGCAGTCCTAAAAGTTTATTCTAGTCAACACTGGAGATCAATAGACTCTTTTGTTTTATGTGCTTTAAGGGCTGAAATGGTTGCAACAGATGTAAGGAAAAAAAATTCGTTTCTGTAGAGGGGGAACAAGCCCAAGGGTTAGATGGTCGTTTCCTAGCACAGATATTACTATGCTGGTAGAAGAAAAAGTTACAAAATACAAACAGAAGTATGGAAATTAATTATTTCCAAAGCTATGTACAGAAATATCTGGGCATGGCACATTTAATTAATGCATATTTGTTCAGAGATCAGAGATAATTTGTAAGAAAACCAATTAAGTTTTTCCTGCTTTTTCATAGGCACTAAAGACTCTATAAAAGTAAAAATTATTCTCTAAATGTATTACTTTGACTTGCTCCTGATACCTAGTAATTATAAATTGAATAACATAATAATGTATTATAACAAAGATTTGTAATGCAGGTAAATGCCTAACACAGCACTGCTATCTATCTCCTTCAGCCTCAACAGCAATGCCAAACCAGCAGCTTCCCTTCCACTCCGAATTCCTCCCTGCAACTCTCCTGGCACAACCATGGCAAGTGATCCTGGCAAGTGATGGGCACAGGACGGGTGGTTTACCTGGCACCAGCACCCCCTCCTCTTCCACCTGCATCCACCACTGCCCTTTGCAACACAGAGCCCGGACACCTGGAAAAACATCTGGAAATGAGCTGGCTCCTTTCTGCTTTCTCTGTGCTGCTGGTTGGGCACTGTTGTGTGGAGACTCTGCAGAGGAGCCGCATGCAGTGACTGGAGCCATCTGTACAACAGTTATAAATAGCTAATTATACTGTCTAATATTACTTTCACATTTAAGTAATTATTGCAATTGCTGGTGGGATATCATAGTCACACTCAAGAGAAGAGGTGACCTGTGAGATGCTGTCTATTAAGACACAGGATGACAACATGGAGAGCTGCCCATCACTGGAGATATTGCAACTTTGGAAGATGTGCCCAACTATGCTCATAGCCGGTTTGCAATCATGAAGCTTTTCTTCAAGCTTTTATAATGCAACGTAAAGCATAAAATCTGGATGTGCCCCTTCTCCCTGGCCTGTAAGAGGTAACCTTGTGGTCCACGCAAGAACACTGACCTACCATCTTCCATGAAAGCACATCTGCGTTTCTGTAGTAGCTTACCACGAAGGTGAGGACAGGAGAGGGGAAAAAACGACTGTGGGAAGTTCCTTGTTGGACTGTTTCCCTTATTTTGCACAAACATGTGGCTAGCCCTGGATGACTTAAACATAACTACTTTCTGAAAAGCCACCCTCAGGGATCCGTGTTGGGACCGGTCTTGTTCAACATCTTTGTCACTGACATGGACAGTGGCACTGAGCGCGCCCTCAGCAGGTTTGCCGATGACACCAAGCTGTGGGGTTCTGTTGATACGCTGGAGGGAAGGAATGCCATCCACAGGGACCCTGACACGCTTGTGAGGTGGGCTGATGCCAACCTCATGAAGTTTAACCATGACAAGTGCAAGGTCCTAAACCTGGGTCAGAGCAATCCCAGACACAGCTACAGGCTGCGCAGAGAAGAGATTCAGAGGAGCCCTGCAGAGAAGGACTTGGGGGTGTTGGTCAATGAGAAAATGAACATGAGCCAGCAGTGTGTGCTTGCAGCCCAGAAAGCCAACAGTATCCTGGGCTGCATCAAAAGGAGTGTGACCAGCAGGTCGAAGGAGGTGATCCTGCCCCTCTACTCTGTGCGTGTGAGACCTCACCTGGAGTATTGTGTGCAGTTCTGTTGTCCTCAACGTAAAAAGGACATGGAACTGTTGGAACAAGTCCAGAGGAGGGCCACGAGGATGATCAGGGGACTGGAGCACCTCCTGTATGAAGACAGGCTGAGAAAGTTGGGGCTGTTCAGCCTGGAGAAGACTACATGGAGACCTCATAGCACCCTTCCAGTATCTGAAGGGGGCCTATAGGGATGCTGGGGAGGGACTCTTCATTAGGGACTGTAGTGACAGGACAAGGGGTAATGGGTTCAAACTTAAACAGGGGAAGTTTAGATTGGGTATAAGGAGGAAATTCTTTCATGTAAGGGTGGTGAGGCACTGGAATAGGTTGCCCAGGGAGGTTGTGAATGCTCCATCCCTGGCAGTGTTCAAGACCAGATTGGACGAAGCCTTGGGTGATATGGCTTAGTGTGAGGTGTCCCTGCCCATGGCGGGGGGGTTGGAACTTGATGATCTTAAGGTCCTTTCCAACCCTAACTATTCTGTGATTCTATTCTATGATTCTAACCTGGGAATTCAACATCATGCAACATGCTAGCATAGGGAACACTCGCCTCTGGCTGCAGCAAAAAGGCAGGGAATTCAGTTTCCTCCACTGCATCAAAATGCTCAAAAGGCTTCTACCTGTCACTGTACTGTGGGAATATGCCAGAGTTCAGTGGCACTAGAAAGCGTCTTGAGCAATCCCTATTTCCAGCACTGCACCTACAACCATAGAGATGCTGAGAGCAGAGGGATCCCAGCAGCTCAGAAGTGCAGATGGATGTGGCATGGCTATGTCCACTGAAGCACACAGTGTACGAAGTGAAATACAGGGGGATTTGACCAAAGGGAAACCCAAAACCTCCTGTGTTTTTTCAATTATAAAGTGGGGTGGGTGTTTCTGCTTTATCGGACAGCCACAACCAAGATGCACACCGTTCCTGTCCCAGTGGTGTATCCAGACCTTAGCTGCAGGAATCAACCAAAGTAATGAGTTTGATGTCAAGTTTGGTAGCCTTGGTTCTTGGTCATTTGTAAGCCTCCAAGCTTATGAGAGACTGGGCTGCCTGCAACTGCTGGCAGTGCTGGAAAGACTGTCACCAAAGAAGCCAGGAAAAAAAGCCGGCAAATAGAGGCAATGAAGACATCTGATTTCTTCTGCTGCTGCACTGAGGAGCTGATAGAAAGCCCTGACTCAGAAACTCGCTTCCTTTCCACCACTTGGTATCTTCCTGTGGGCATGGGATGACAGCAGGGAGGCTGCCCTACTATCTGGAAGGCCTGTTCAGTGCTCAGGTGGGCACTGCAAAGTTGCTCCAAAATGTTTGGGAGAGAGACAGAGGGATGAGGAGACACCCACCACATCTGACACACAGAAACACCAGGGGAGGAACCAGAGGCCATGTGGAACGGCTGAAGCTGGGCAGCAGTACCTCATGTCTGCATGTCCAGTGTCAGCAGAAGAATTTGTAAGTACAGAGCCCGCCTACCTTTATGTAGTTATTTCCATGGAGAGGCAATTTAGAGCAGCTCAGACAGGAACTGAACATAATGTTGTTCAATTACCTGTGAAGCCTTGTGCTGGCAAAAACAATTTATGAATGTTTCAGTGAAACTCATTTTGATACAAACACAGCCAAAGTCATTCAAGAGCCGGACCCAGCAGTCCAGTGCTCCAAAATGAAACAGAAAAGCATTTTTCCTTGCCCATGTTGCAAACAACATGGAATACAAATGAGTAAGTTTTTTGCTGACTAATCAGTTGGGGGGGGGGTGTACATTTTAACCTGCAATCAGGACTTTCTGCACAGTCTTTTAGCGCTGCCTGTCCAACTGATACCCACCAATTAAAAATATAGCAGTTAAGCTGGTAAGCATAAGCAACTTTGTACCATGCTGTCACCCTTCCATGTTCATGAGTAGCTACATACCTAATGCAAACAGGGACTAATTTCAGGCTAACCCACAGAAAACCCATTCTTTTCCAACAGCAAAAGCAGCTCATGGCCCACTTCACTCTTCGTTTGATGCTGATATGTTCTAATCAGTCTGGGTTTGAAGGGTACCTCCTAGCTAATAGCACAGTTTTAGAAAAACTTTCCCAAGACATAACTGCTGTCAATTTTTCTGTACAGTCTTTAAGAAGCCTTTTTTTTTCCTATTCAAACAGCTTTAAAAAAAATACTATTATTATTATTTTAATGAAACAGTTGTGGTAACCTTTACATTGATTTTAGCCCTCACCTGAACCCCCCAAAAAATAAATTCTTGTGTTATTTTTTCCTTATCTTCCTAGCAGCTGGGAGTGATTTCTGGGTTAGACTAGTCTGATCTTCAGAAATAGCACTGGGACTAAAAAAGAGTGAGAATACAACCTGCAACCCAAGAAATTTGGGTCATGCAGAGAATCTAATCCAACAGCTCAGTAAGCAGAGGGCAAAACCCAAATCATCCTTCTGAGATGGCTCTGTGCCTCCCTCCGTTTCGGATTATCAGACACTCACTGCTCCTGAGCTTTATACCTGCAGCATCACACATTTTGTTTGAATATCACTGTTACACTTCCTCACGCAGAGGCATGCATTGCGTTCCGAGATGCTCTAATCAGCAGTATTGTTATCTAATGCCAGGTTTTAGAGCCATCCTATCTGTCAGATACCTGTGCAGGAGCGGGGAGCAAAGGAAAGGGCGCTGGCGGGAGAGGTGAGTGATCGGGGATGGCGAAGGCCGGGCCCTGGCGCACAGGCTGGCGTCCGGCCATCTGCTGCGGTGTCGGGGCGCTGCGCAGGGTGCGGCCCGGGGGCGATTCCCGGGCGGTGCGTTCTCCTGGGGCCCCGCTGGGGGACCCTCCTTGAGGGTGCATCTCCCGCCTACCCAGGCCTCACCCGCTGGAGGCTGCATGCACCGGGAGTGTACCCAACGCGAGGATGGGGGGGCTGACTGCAGCCTCCGCGGGGTTCCCTAGGGGGCACATCCTGCGGGGTGACTCCGGCCGGGCGGAGTGGGGGGCTCCGCCGTGCCTGGGCCGGACCCGCTGCAGAGATCACGCGGAAGCCTCGCCCCGGGGGACAACCCCCCCCCACCCCCCGCTTCAACCCCGGGCCGCTCCTTCCCGCTGCCGCCCCGCGGAGCAGTCGGCACCTACCTGCGCCCAGCAGCGCGGCGAAGGCGAGGAGCAGCCCCAGGAGGCGGCAGCCGGCCATGTCGCGGTGGGGCTGCGAGTCTGCCGCGGGCTTGGCCGCCTGCCTCCGATGGGGCGGGGCGGACTCTCGGTGCCGCCCCCCGCCCGCCGGGCTGCGCTCCGAACCGGGCCACAGGGAAAAGAGGTGGGGAGCCTGCGGGAGTGGCGGAGTCGCGGCTGGAGCTGCGGCCCGCGACGGTCTACCGAGCGCCGGCACCGGAGGCAGCTGCGCTGCGCGGCCCGAGCCCTGCCCGCCTCTACCCGTCGTGGCAAAAAGGCGTTCCCACGGCCCCGGCGCACATCCTCTCGCTGGGCGTGTGCGGCGGCTGCGCTGGGCTCGGCTCGGCTCGGCTCAGCCCGGCCCCCGCGTTTGCTCATCGACGTGGGGAGAGTTCGCGCTGAGGATGCGCAGCGAACTTCTGCGGGGCACGGGTCGCGGCTGCCCGAGGGGATGGGCTGCAGCAGCGCTAGGGCCCGGCCGCAGCACCCTCGGGGCCGCGGGAGCCAGCGGGGCACAGTAATGATGCCGGGATAGGCCGATGGTGGGAGGGGGGGGCTCTGTCCCGCTCCCGAGAAGCGGCTGTGCAGGGGAGGGAGCTGCTGTGATTTCATGCCAAGCTTTTAACGCGGAGGTTACGGAGACTTAGAAATGTTAGCTGGAAGCGACCTCTGGAGGTCTCTAGCCCAAACGCCCCCTCGGAGCGGGACCCACGGACAACAGGTCAGGTCAGCTGTGGCTTTGGTCGGTGTGGAACTGAAAACCTCCAGGGATGGAGGTTCCCCCATCTCCCTGGGCGACCTGCGGCAGTGCTGCCCCACCGCCTGGTGAAGGAGATTCTCCTGCGGCCTGTCTGACTCTCCCGCTGACCCTGACCGCTTATTTAGCTGTCACCTCCTGTTGTGACACCTACTACTGCCAAGAAGAACTTGGCTCCATCATCTTAATAATTGCCCTTAAGTAGCCGTAAACTGCAATTAGATCTGCAGATTAGATCTCGCCAAAGCAAACAAACTGCCCCTTCTAGTTCAGGTGCACCAGGTGCTGGAACCACTTCTCTACATCTCTTTTGAAATGGGGGGAGGGAATCGTTAATGATACAGGAATTATCTTTATTTATTGCTATTTATAGGTGGTTTCACTACAGAAAAGGGGGTGAGGATGCAGCCTATATTTAGGCCCTAAAGCGTTAGTGAGGACTAAAAGCCTGAAGAAGCGTCTGGGTTGTCCTAGTCTCACCCCACCTCACAGCACTTGGGAGATACTGCTGTCCCTGGCTGCTCTAGCTGAACATCAGAGCAGTGTCTCATGTCCGGAAGGTGCTTTTTGTCCTTGGTGGGAACATCACCTGAAAAGATGGTGAGCTAAAAAGTACATGGAGGAGTTACAGTCATCTTCAGAAGTGCTTGGGTTGAGGGATGCAGTGGGCTAGCAGGGGCAGCCTGGTTTTTATCTGTGGCCATGTGGAAGACTGCAGGCTCCACGCTCCCAGTGCCTTGCCTTCCACTAACGTTCCAGGGGGAGGGTCTGCAAAACCCACACCAGAGCAAGCTTCACTAAGTTACCATAGTTCAGCATGCTGATATCGTGCCGTCACAGTACATGATGCTTATGTACTGTGCAACTCTCTCTACTGCAGCAACCAACAGGAGTAACAGGGGTCCCAGGTTAGAGATGAGCTGAGCTAGAGAAGGTGCACGTCAGCTGCTATACAAAACCATCTGTGCATTCACAATATTGCCTTTCTTCCTGTTTATACAATGAAAAAATCGGGATTACAGTCCAGTTTGAGTCAAACTAAAGACAAGTAGCAGGACAACGCTTGTACCTTCCCACTCTGATTCCTCAATAACCTCTTCTGTCAGCTATTAGTATTTCAGTGGCTTTCCATGCCTCTGGTAATTGTTGGGGGAGGAGGTGGTTAAAAAGGCTATTATATTAGAGTTAGCAAGCCTGAAGGCATGAGAGAGCATCGCAGCAGCTGATGCAACCCGTGACAGTATATTGTTTGCAGTTCTGTGCGAGCCTGGGGTGCACACCAGTGCCTGTGAGTTGATTCATAACTACAAAGAGAAGTATGAATGTACCATTTAATTGACAGGAGGGCGGGCAGCAGCAGTGCTGTGCTCCGAAACTGGAGGGAAACAGGGCGGTTCAAACTGGGAACTCATCTGACTGAATTCCCCAATAACCTAGGGTGCCGTCTGTGGCCGGTGATGCCCAGCCAGCGCGGGGCTGTGTGCAGCAGCACAAGTTGTGTCTTTAAGGGAAGCCAAGCCCAAGGCAGCTGGAAAGCCTGGGGACCAGCCAGCAAGTGACTCAGCATCGCCTGACCTGTGCCCAGGAGCCCGGGCTATTCTTGGTTGCGGGTGTGTTTAAGGCAGGCAGCCCAGACTTAAACACTTCCAGTTGCTCTGCAGAGGATGTGCCTGTGCTGAGGCTGGAGCTTTGCATGCATTATGTTGTCCAGGGCTGTAGTGCCGTCTTCTTGTTGGATCGCTTTCCTCCAACCTCAAGGGGGCTACGGCCTTTTCATTTTCTTCTCTTGAGCTAGATGCAACTGTAATCCTTAAATAGCGGAATAAATGGCCATTGGAGGAGCTTTCAGTGGGAAAGTATACTTGCTTCCCATTGTGTTTTAAGAGGTATCATGCTCAATTCTTCTTGCTGCCTTTGAAAATCTGCTCCCTGGACTTATCATGCTTTTGTCTATGGGAGCAAAAATATGCTTAAAGGGAAGGGGAAATGCTGATCAGGAAAGGTAATGCTGGGTCACACAAAAATCTGGTTTAGAATCTTTTTCTTCCTGAATATTCAAATCGTTTAGAAGGATTAAAACATGTAATCCGTTAGATCTCAGAGCCCCTCGAAGGTGCTAATCTCGTACCCTTGATAAGTGATGGACACATAAAAAGCATCAATTTAGCTGCTAGTGGAGTGCTCCTGTTTTAAAAGCAGAATGAGCTGTCATGTAGAAATGCATAGCCTTGCCACACAGTTATCTGTGATGGAAAATGAAAATACTATAGACAATTTAAAATGCGCAGTTTCAGAGGCTGAATTACATTTTCACCTGTGTCCATCTCCTGCCTGAGGTACTTGCTTCCAAATACAGTAATCCTTTTTTAAGTAAAAAAATTTGCTAATTTGGAGTCTTTTAAATTCCCTTACAAAACTGGAACGTGCATGATCAGATTTTCTAAATGCCTTGTTTTCTAAAGTCCTGATTAAAGTTGTGATCCAAGTAGTTCCTTAAAAAAGACAAGTCAAGCAGTAGTATGAGATGGCAACACTACAAACAGCCCTTATCCTGTGCAACCCCAGTGGCCCTGTGGTTAAGTATCAGGGATATTCCCAGTCTCTTCCATCGCCCCGGAGAAGGAAGGAGCAGCTTTCCCTGGGCAATGGGCTGTCAGGCCGCCGGGCTGTCGGCTCTGGTCCTGTGCCAGAGCTGAGATCCAACAGATTTTCCTCCTGCAGTGCCAGCAGCTGAGCTGAGGGAAGGGGCCAGGGCTCTGTTCTCTTCAACCCATGGTGTTCTGTGGCTGGCTGCAGTGGCTTGCCCGGTGGAAGTCACAGCTGAGTAGAGCTCCCTGTAAACAGACTTACTCTGCTTCTCACTGCCTGCCAAGTGCTGAGGACTGCTCGTCGTAACCATTTTCTCAGAGAGCCTCCAGTCCGGTTCCTCCAAAAACTGATGCATTGGGGGATGTTTGTACAAGCTGATTTTAAGTATGGGATTTCTCTGCCTACATTAGGTGTCAAGACTCCTGCTGTAATCAAAAGTGAGGGGCAGGATCCTAATTACAGCGCTCTCAGTTGCACCCTAAAAGATCCCTTGTCTGTATGGGGAGCATGGGTACCTTACATAGGTGCTTAAAATGGGTCTGAATGTTCCCTGTTGTGTGCTGGGTCTGCCACTGCTACTGCAAACAGGCACAGAACCTCTTTGCCTTGTGTAAATCAAATGCTTCAGCTGCACTCTTAAAGGAGAAATGTTTGTAGCACTTGGATGGAAATTAACTGGAGAGTGCATTTATTTTTGGCCAGTCCCCTGGGAGCACCTGCCAAGCATTACCTCTCATTTCAAGCCTGGCTGTTCCTGTTGAGAAAATCTGATGGAGCTTCGAGTCTGGGTCAAGGTGAGCTCCTGTCTCTTCATCAGCTGCCTGTGCTGTTTAAAAGGGAAGGAGGAAAGCAAGCTAAGCAGTGGATTGGGTGTGAGGAATGGTGTGCTCCTGCTAGACAGCTCAGCAACAAGAAACAGGACTGCTTGGGTATGGTTTATGTACCGATTAAATGCACCTGCTGGTCCCCAAGCATCAATGTTCAGTTTTAGAATGAAAATGTTGAATCATAAATTAAACTGAGAAAATTAATTCCGGCCTCGTCTATTCTGGGACGATAGCCAATTGCTTAAAACAAGGCTTACCTGCACCTGTCTGAAACCAGAGTACCTGGCACAAGCCATGGTGCCTATGTAAAAGCTCTCCAAGGGTCATTAATGCTGTTGTATGGACTTGCTCAAGTGTCGGCGATGGGGACTTTGGTATTGGGTGGACCAATCTCTCCAATTCCATGGAAGTACAACTGGAATGTGCACAGGGATGTGCCTTGCAGGGCGCCTCTTTTCCCACTTCCCAGCACCATGTCAACAGTACCGTGCTGGTCCAGGGCTGGGCATGGCAGCTCTCATGGGCAGAGATGCTGAGGAGTTTATTTACTCAGAATAACCATGATCTCAAATGGAAGGATACTGGGACACTGGGGTCGATCCACGTGTTTCTCAAACACATTAGAAACTGATGTTTGCTCTCTAAATTCCTGAAAAGCAGCAAAACCTGGTGTTTTCTTTTTTCCTTTTTTTTTTTTATTATTTTATTTTCCACCAGGGACAGAAATTGCTGGCTGAGAATCTGAGGCCTGAACCCAAAGAAAACATATCTCAAAAGCAGCGTAACTGCTCTGGCCAAGGTTTTCCTTTCTTCCTCTCTGCCTTACTCCAGAAGTCTGCAGAATCCAAAAGGTGGATATAGAGTATAAGGTGACGTTCA